TTCCATTTGTTCCTCACATTTGTAATGCAGAAAATGATTATTCAAAATCTGGCATTTATGTGATGCTGAAGGAACTTTTATCACTATGCAAGGAATATAATAAAAAACGAATAACAGTGTGAAATTCATGAACATATAAATGTGCTAAAAATTGCTTTCTGTTGGCTTGGAAAAATGAGATTTCTTACTATAATTTTTTATTCTCTGGGTTGCACGGAACATTTCCATTTTGGAAGACATTGTCAGGGTTCATATCTGGAATCTATCTCTCCTAGTTTCTCAGCTTCTTATTTCACTCTGTGAGAAGGAAATCAAATTCTCCCCCCCCCCCGCCTCCAATGTCAGCAGGAACTCAAAGCTTCCCATTTGTCTCACCCTACCATTGCTTATCTTAACAGCAATCAAGGCATATGATTAAATTATAGTAAGAATGGGCTCACCTAAAAAGATTAAAAACATAGCAGGACGAATCAAGAGTCCTCCACCCCAGCCCCAAATTAAATAACTAAAGACCTAGCAGGAAGGGCCAACTTTCCTTGAAGCCATAATCGAATCATAAAAAGATTTCTTCCCAGAAGGGATCTACATTCCAATTAGGCAATACCTGATAAGGCAAACACGGGAAACCCCAGCTCAGTAGGGTGCTTGACCTTAGAAGCTCCTTTCTAAAGATCTAGTCCATTTCACCAGGCGAGTGCTTTCTCTTGGAATCCTGGTTAATTACCTTTTCTAGAAATTCCTAGAGGGCAGGCATTCCTTCGCACCTTTCAAGGATCTATAAAAGGGACTCCTGGGAAACCTGTGGTGTGGCCGCCAGACAGCTGATCATCTTGGCTCTCCTAAATAAAGTCTTCTCTCTCCTTCAAGCAACTGCCTGCGTGTATATTCCTGGCTCGGAGACAAACTTCGTAAACTTGCTAACAACTTGGTTTCCCTATTTCTCTATATCCACTTCCTATTTCTTAACATATTGAGAAAAAACTTCCCAGCAGTACTATATATCTTTGTTTCATGGATACTGAACACCTCAAGAACACTGAATAAAAGTGTTGGCATTGCCATTGCTGTTGTGGATGCAACATGTTTTTGATGAACCCTACAGGATCATCTGTTTAAGACCTGCCCTGAACTGCCTTGCATCATTTCTCTAGAATAGCTCTTCTCTACCCTGGTGCCCCGCAAATGAATGGCCTTTCATTCCCAGAATTCTCAGTTCACAGACTAGGGAAATCTGGGAGTTGAAGTTCACATATCTGGAGAGTGCTAAGGTTGGAGAAGGTTGATTTCAGACTGGACATATTAAGGACTGAAGCTATGGAGCTAATGCATGCAAAATATATTTTCTAATACAATAAAATATATGTAAAATATATTTTAAAAATAAAATATATTTTCTAAGTTACAACCCTTCCCAAAGCTCACATTTTTATTACTTGATAAGCTGGCAGTTATATGGAGACAACCTCACAGCCAAATGCTAAAGGAAACTTTGAAGCAACTGGCAGAGTAACCCATAATTAGCGCACCAGTTAATTGTATTACTTATAGCTCTGGCTCTTAGAAACATCTACAAGCTTCCTAGAAAAGCTATAATTGTTACATCAAAAATTAAAGTGTTGATGTAACTATGTTAATTTGTTTGCTTTTTTAGAAATAAGACCTTACACTCTGTATAACTAAACATAAAGTAAAAAAAAAAAATCTAGAGTGTAAGGTCGTAATAACCCACAACTCATTAAAAAGAAGTCACAAACATTCCAATTTCCACAGAAACCAGTACAAGCGTGAAATAAAGCACCCTAAATCAGTCTTGTAGTGAGAGGTTTTAACAGCATATCAAGAATAGTTATGTGCAGCTGTTCAGATCCAAAATGGAAAAGTTGCCTTGGAGATGTGATGTGTACCTGTTGGCACCTCTTTAAAGAAGCTATATTCTTTCTTGAGTTTGCATGATAGCTGTGGAATCCCAGGACAATAGACATTTGGGTTAAGGAGGCATTGATAGGGTCCCACATCCCTGGAAAACAACTTTTCTGCTTCAGAAATCCAAACAGTTGTATATCCCTAATTAAGAGCCTAGTCTGGATATTTGCTAAATGGTCACTTTGTCCAGCGTTATTCATAAGGAAGCTTGATGAATAAATTCTGTATTCTTTTTCTTACTGGTTCTCATTTGGTTTGACAAAAGAGAATTTGCATTAGATATTCTCTCAAAGGAGAAGGAAATTTTGAAGACATTTTCGTGGGTGTTGTGCTTACACTTATTTAATGGCAAGGTGACAAAGGAATGTGTGAGAATGTCCTGTAGCATCATTGACATAGAAATCTGTAGTCCCCTGGCTATCTAAGTTTCCTTGAAATCTCGATGGGTAGATATATAACAGAAGGGTTCCCATGGGCCTTTTTCAGTAGCACTTCTACTCTTACGGCTGGAGGGTGCTGACCTTGAGAAATTCTTGGATAATTTCACCTTCCCATGGTGAAATGGTGCCCTTAACTCCTCTGCCCATGAACCTGGTAGAGAATTTTGAAAGGCTCTTCCTTCCCAGCTCACTTTACTAATGAGAATGTCCAAGTCTTTTAACATGATTTTAATATGCAGCATATTAAGATATTGTTGAGGAAGCATTTCAGTGTAGGAGAAAGGAATGAGATTCACAGTAAGATTCAGAAGACTGTTCAAGGATATATTTAATGACCTAAATCAAATTCTGGGGACAGGTTTTAAAGCGGTGGTAGATATTTCTCTGTACATCTTTAAAAGATTGTTCTAGCAAGGCTAGAAAAATTTCAGAACAGAGAAGTACAGCTACCAGTCCAGGCTGCAAAAACATGTATGTACTAGATGGCAGCTAGGAGAAATAGCAAAATCTAACTGTTGCTTTCAATGGATGATATCTGGACTGTTTACAACCCAGCTATGATAGCCCAAGGAGAAGTCTAGGTTTAATGGCCTAAAATGTAACTTAACATAAGACTGCCTCATATGCTCATCATGATTTGAAAGCAATACTTCAATTCTTAGCATGTATATTTAGCACAGAAACAATTTAATTTTTTATTACAAATACTGGTGAATTGTGAGTAACAGGAGAGTTTCTAACAAACAAAAGGATCTTTAACAAATTTCCTACCCCAAATGGGAACTCCGATCTTTGTTATATGAAAGTTACAAGCAGCAATTAATTACCAAAGACAGTGCACCAGAGACAACTATTTTAGCTACTAATAAGTATATTAAAATTAGTACAAGAGACTTACTGATTATTGGATTGTATTTGCTAAGAATTACAATTATATTTACTAGCAGTTTACTAACAGTTTAACATATAGGCAAGTAAACAAGCTAACCAGAGAAAAGATCATTTGATTCTGCTTATTACTGCTGCAGGGACCATATATCTGCAAGACATGGCTTTGCATTAAGCAGATATTTCACTTGTCTCTATTTTCCAACAGTTATTTAAATTGACTGGATATCTCTTGGGATTTCTTGAAAAGGAAAACAGCAAGAGTTTGGTACTGCTGAGTTTGGATGGACTGTGGTGGCAAAACAGACAACTATATTAATTTCATCTCAAAACAAATGTGCTTTTTCACATTTAGCATCGCTCTTTCCCCATCAGTTTAATTCTGTCTCATTCTGTTCTAACCTGTTTATACATTATAAATTCTTCCTTGATAAATCCATTGCTGCTTTCTTCAAGATGATATTCTCCAGATATTCTTGACTTCAACTCCCATAATACCCATCAGTGTGCCCAAAGCCACACCTGTTGAGAATTTGGGAATTGCTGTCCCTAGGATAGCTGATCTATGTTGCATCCATTTATTCATATTATGGATTTAATTGTTCCCTGTCTTTCCAGAAATGATGATCCATAAAGCTAACAAGCAAAACAAATGAACAATTCAAGCACAATTGAGATACACACATTCTAATCCCTCAGAAAACATTTAGAAGATGAATAATGACCCACAACTGTATTTATTTCTGATCTTGAAATACAGAGAATATATAGAGAACCCCAAGAGCCAGTCTGTTGAGACAATAACAGGGTTATTAAAAACCACTATCCGGTATGTGTTGATCCCCTCAGCTATCATCATTCCTGGAGTAAGAAAAATCTCCTAACCCCTGCTACACAAAAATAAATTCCACATATACCCTATTTTTCAATATACGCTGTGTGTATTCAATAATTTGCTTTAAAAAAAAACCAAAGCAATTGCTATACGCAAAGCTTTCTGACCATCTGCTGCATTTAAAAACTTAGATGAGTTGTGATGGTAAAATGATAGCATGTCCAGCAATTTTGCAACCTGGTGCTTTCCCAATAGCTATAACCATGGTTACCTGTTGATCATGTGTCAGGACTGGGGGAAGGGGACAATAAATTCTACATAAGGCATACAAACAAGGTCTAGGAACAGAATGCTTAACTTCTATTGGGCAGGGAGGCTGCCTCCAACCCATAAACCAGGAAGCAAGATAACACAAGTCTTCCTGCCAATAGGAAAACTATACCTGTTAACTTCTGCAGATTCTCAGTGATTCAAAGGAAAAGATCAGATTTGCTTCAATTTCACATACATCAGAACAGAGCCATGAATAAATGTTTCATCTTCTGAAACCAGCCAAAGCTACAAGATAAGATGGATACCTACCCAATTGCAAAGTGGGGCAAAGTCTTCATGTGGGAGTGCTTCATGTGGCTTAGAAACCCCACACCTTTGAACTGAAATATCCAGACTCCTGCTGGGAGACTTTTTTGCCCCTACTCTGGTATATTAACAACACTGGGGTGTTCTCATCTCCAGCTTACTCTCCAACCGCAAGTATCAACTGAAAGAATTTAATGACTAACCAGCTTAACTCTAGCACATACTCATATACTTTCCTACAATTAGAAATAAGTCAAGCCCATCTTGGATGATTCTCACTTACAGAAGAATATCTTGCAGATGAACAGTGCTACCTGAGCTACATTCTTTCTTACCTCTTGTTCTTGTCCTCTATTTGTAAGAGATAGACCATGTCATCAGCAGTATGCTGTTTGGAGCTGCTGTCTCCCCATTTCAGTTTCAGGCTCTGGGGACCTGCTGCAGTACACTCTAGCCGAGGAGGTAAGGGTGGCAATGGCCTGGTCTTTGCTGTAATGAAGTGGCTAAAAGGCCCAGCTCCAACCTCATTGATGGCCTGAATCCGGAGCCTATGATTGGAAGATACAAAGAAAGAATGGAAGGCTAAAGTGGACAGAACAGAAGTTATAAATAGATTTCATACTTTGATATGGGGAATACTAGGATGCAACATTTCAAGTCCACAATAAAATGTTCTAACCATACCAAATTATTCTGATTTCAACATGGCTCTTCCTTATGGTTTGGCACAATTATCGTAAAGTTAAACAGTGGTTTCAAGCTAATTCCAAATATTTTGCATTTCACTACAACAAAAGAACACATTGGAGCATAGTGGAAACTGTTGGGGGAGTTGAACACATTCTCAGAATTGACTTTCAACTAGAGAAACCTAAAATGCTAAGAAGTTTAGCTTAGTATTGCTCAACCCCCCCACCCCAAATCAAGATAACTTTAAGTAGACGTATAAAGGCAATATTAAAGAGATAATTACAAAAGCTTGGAATTTTATTGACTTTGGTAATTCTGGTAGTTGTGGTTCCAAACTATGTGGAAAGTGTTCTGTTGAGGAAGGCTACTGTTGGGTAATTTAAGCATTTTAAGATTATTAGTTAACAAAATTAACACAATTAACAATAGCAAATCAACAGGCAGAGGCTCGATTTAGAAATTGCTCTAAAACATACTTAATCAGGCTTAACCAAATATCTAGAACCCAAAATCAAGATCAGAAGTGGATTTGCTATCCAGAAATTATCAATGTCATTATGCATCCTATTTACAACGTTGGAGTACAATAGACAAGATAATGCTAAGCAGATAGGAAATAAAGCATACATACTATTGTAAACCATGGTATGAGTGTCTATTGGGTCATGCCAGGCTAAACCAAAAGTGTTTTCACCACGGTTTATTGAATAGTCCACAAATTACTTGTTTCCTATATCCCACAAGCTGAACAATGGAAACATGATAGATCTAATCACTTTCGGAAATTGTTTGTTAATGCTTTTCAGCTATTAGGAACATTTGGATTGATAGGTTTTAGAGCACCAGGTGAGTTTCTTTCAATCCTTAGTGAAAGAAATTTTAACTACAAGTTTAAGGACTCCCCCCCCCCCGCTTTGGAATAAACAGAAAAAGTTACAAACAGACTAAGGGTCCAGATGGATTTCAAATAAGATTTTGGAATTATTTATAAGAATCCTTCCTGTGGGAAAATGCTTTTGTTTTGAATTCTCTT